TAAAACAGGAAATGCAATATATGTTGTAAATCATCATGTCTAGAGATGTTTTTTTGCTAATTTCAATTATTTTTTTACAAAGTTTGAGATCTACTGTTCATTCACCTGAAGGGATACAATGTTTTTCACTGCGCATAAAACTCAATAAATCTGGGATTGTTTTTTTTTCAAAATACTGCATCCCCTAGAGGGGGTTTCGCATTATACTTGGGTGCGCACTGTAGTCAAGAAAATACAATAATGTGTTACAGTGTAGGTTATCTCTGTATTAACATACAGGTATGCAGACTGTATAGAGTAGGTCATTGCTGACTCTATATTCATACATTAAAACATTATTCAAACCACCAAGATATCATTTTCCTTTGTAATTTTAGTATAACTTTCGCCCATAAGCTGGAGGTGACAAGATACAATTATTTTCTTTTTCACCATTTTTTAGAATTTCTTTTCAACTGTTTCTGTTCTCCATCATCTAATTAGCATGTGTTAGTGATTGTAGACTTCTTTGTATCTTAACCAGCTGACTTCTTGTATCTTAATCTAGTTGACCTTCACCTTCAGCTATGAGGTCTTCACAAAGTCCTTGTAGAAACACATTCTTATCTGAGGACAAAATCAATATCCTCACACTTGACACCTCCATGAGGGTATATTATGTCAAACTATAATGAACCGAATGAGTAATTACTTACAACTTTTCTGGGAATCCTTGTTAGTACAAAAAGGATACACAGGTGGCCCAGTCATCTAAGGCGCCAGGATTCAATGTGCAGAGTCGCATCCCTTGGTCACGCCAGAAACCTATGATTGTGGGTTCGAATCCCGGATGGCCCCGATTATGTTTCTGCGTTTGTCAGCACCATACCCATGCTTGTTGGTTTCACCAGGCTTTCCTCCCATATTAAGCTGACACGCCACGATATAACTGGAATACTGTTAAAAGCGGCGTTAAACCCAACTCTCTCACTCACTCACTCACTCACTCACTCACTCACGTTAGTACAAAAAGAGCATCAGGAATCTCAAAATATGCCATTGGCTAAATCCATATACAAAGGTCCACTAAGAGAATATATCATGTCAAACATAATTAATGTCAAGATTCAACCATTTCTGTAGAAGTAAGATAGTTTCAAAGATTAAGGCACATCTTTGTAACTGTTACTCCTCTTCATATACTTCTTCCTCTGTACTGTAGCTTGAAGAAATCTGAGTGGAGATCCATACAAATGCATAATATGAAAAATACCAGCCAAGCCATTGTGGAGTGTTACGTTGGTATACATGGGTGTGAAATTAACACATTACAGTCTTTTTGAGTCATGCATTCATGTACTGTGACAAGCTATGCTTATAATCAATTCAGGTAGATTTTCTCACCTATTATATAGTGAGGACAATGGTAAAAGATACAAGATAAAGATAAAAGATAGGAAAGAAGAACAATTGGCTAGTGTCTTGGGGCTTTATGCTTGATGTACAACTGTGACCTTCCAGAATGTCTTTAGTATATATATATATGTACATATGTCATTATATATCTTCCTCTATTGTGTCAGGATGGAATATATCAAAATTACGCTAATGCAAACGTTTCATATTTGGCAAAAATATGAAAATATCTTTGTCATGTAAGATACGTGGTATTATGACATAAGAATGTGTTTCGGTATGACAGAACAGGGACTAGCACACACAAGGCAGAGGCTTCACACAGACGGAGAACTGCATGTTAATAGCCTCCATTGATTAATAACATTCAGATATGCTACGTTAGCTTTCTGGGTCACCATGCTGTGTTCAGCGTTTGCCATGTATACCACATCCACGTTGGTGTATTGCTTCATGTAGCCCGGTTGTTATGGTCTGTTTTGGTCAGTGATTGGTCAATCAATAGTCTCAACCTGCATGCCGGACATTCATGCATGGAAGCTTACTGACCTCATTTGACCTAAGGACGTTTTACGGAGTCACGTGAATTCAGGTAAAGTTTGCATAAAGCTGATTTAATCTATGGAAAAACCTGTTTTGTGTGTTCCAACTCCGAGCTGGCAGGTTCAGTTTTATACAAGTATAGTCACAAATATCTAAACTGGATAGACCAGAATGCTGAACTTGCTGAATTAGGAAATGTAAGGAATTTTGGGTGTAGATGTATAATGAAAACTGTTTTTTATCTGAAATTAATCAGAACTGTTATTTACACAGTGAACATACTGTTGAAGGAAATATTTTTATCAAAATTGAAATAATTCTAGATTTGACTGTAATCATGCTGGAACTGTTAGTTACACAATGAACATACTGTGCCCTGTGAAAGAAAGAAATTCATAAAAATTGAAATATTTCCTGATTTGGCTGTAATGATGATTTTCAAAGAACATATCGTATCTGCAGAATGTAGATTATGTTTATGTATATATGTACAGAAATGGTTAGGGAATGGGCTATTGCCTTGAATCTTCAATGAATATTGCTGCAGCAGTAGAGGTCAGAAAGTGTGGCATTATTATTATAGGATTGAGTAGTCGCAATGTTATAAATGTCAGAATGTGTTCGAGAGTAATTTTCCCTCTCAATTGGCAGATCTCAAAACATGGCCGGTCATTTGTGATTGATAGTATCGTGTGACATATTGAAATTAGTGTACTTATAACACAAATCAGATGTCAATGATAGATTTATTATACTGGTCATGCGTTATTTAAAAAACATTTATTTTGACAAATTCATATTGGAATGTTTTTACTATTGTTTCAAATCATGAAGTAGCTGGAATGTTATTTGGAGAATTCTAATAGCTATCAGCTACAATAGTATCATCTGATTCACAAAAACAACTTTGAAATTATTATCAAATATCATCCTTATTCAGTAATATAAATCGCATCAACACCAAACATAAACAATATCATTATGGCAGCAAGAACAATACTGGTAACAAGATAAGGAAGGATACCATGGTAGAAGTGTGAATCAATTGCAAATGTCAATCCAGACCATAATAACCAAGCTATCAATGTCTACAAACCCATCACTGGGTTTGGTTTTGATGGATCATCGCCAGGCCTTTTGCTTATATACTACCACAATTTCAAGTCAATGCTACTTCTAATCACTGTTCTGTAATCTTCTCTGTTGATAATTGTATCATGAAGAGGTCAAAGGGAAAGACACTATTGGGTTCTATGACATATCACGGTAGTTGATCATAGTGACCTTCATGTCACACTGACCCATGACCATATCACCTGGTGGAAGCATTGCAAGATCAATGAGTTTTGACGTTGATTTGGACTTTTATGTTGAATATACTCTATCAAAATAAGTATATTTCAGTAGAAGAACTGTTGGTGATTACCGATAGTTGTAGTGCACCCAATAAAACACTTACGCCTCAACAAGACTTTATATGGCAGTCAGTTACCTACTTCGGACAACTTTCACCCAGTTACAATTCATAACATATTTATGTGTGCCAGGACAGCAAACAACAAGATTTATCCATGTGTCTGACATGGCCCCCCTTGCCTTCTGGCTCTGTTGACATGCAGGCCATGACAGGCACCTGATGTAATGAATGAAGGAAGTTGTCCATTAACTGTCCACTTGTTGACTTCCTCACTCTATGGTCTGGCTTACACACAGGGAGATTGTATCTCCATACTGGTGCTTACAAGTGACCATTCTTCAAGGGTCATAGTCAGTCAATTACTTGTAATTGTCATTTTATCACCCTGGTGATTGAGGGAGAAAGAAGATATTGACAGCTGCTTATGATGACAATGATGTTTTGTGAAAAGCAATGGCTTTCATAAAGAGAGTGCTTGGAACAGAGGTATTCATGAAAATGAGGCGTTTTGGGCTAGATCAAGAAGATGATTTCATACAAAAAATTATGCATCTAAATGTGGATGGAGGGTTGTTGAAAAAACTAGTGTATGGTTAATCTATTTTGAAAATATTTTAAAGAATTTAAATTCATTACTGAATTTTATTTAACAGATTGTTTATTGTAGGTTTTCTGGGAAATCTGTGATAATCATTAAACTTTCTAGGACTGGATGACATGGACTTTTATGGAGGACAACTATTGCCTCAATGTTAGGGGAATGCACTTGTGGAAGTTTCTGGTATCTGCTTGTCTAATGCAGTGAATACACAAGGTACTGAATTATGATAGTTAAGGACTACTACAGTTCTAACTACATCCTCAAACAGCTGAAAATGGGAGTTCCACCTGGGGAAAGTGTTTTCAGAAAATGTTAAGAAGTCATCAAAATATTTGAAGTTCTACCTCAACAGGTTGCTTAACTTGTGATGGGTGGAAGTGTTTATGTTGAACACAGGAACAGACAAGCCCACTGCATCGTTTAGAGGGGGGAATCTGGAGAAATTTGACGAACCCCCAAACACAACAAACGTCACCTTTCTTGAAAGGTGTTGCTGGACCTTCTTCGTTCCTCAGATTTGAGGCAACATTACATTGCAAGAACATGCTGATTGTAAACACATTACAGTGATAAAAATTAGCATTACTTTTTCAGAATTTTAGAAGAGAAAATGAAATTTGAATTTGTCCAAATTTACATGTAAACATGGAAGACATGTTATGGTAAGACAGTAGTTTTGCACTTTCCTCAAGTTTCCACAATTTGGGGCATCAGGTTACAGTTAAGTTGTGGATTACTTCCAAACTTGCTGTATTTGGCCAACATACCACCCTGGAGACAGGGATAGACATGCTGTTCTTTTCTAATCTAATAAATCTGCTTCAAATAAGTTCTAGGGAAAGCACATTATGATATTCTGTCAAACATGCTTGGCTGTGAGCACTTCAAGAAAAGAAAACATGCATGCATGAGAACAAGTAAAACCATATGTTAGGGTACAAATAGAAACTTTGTTTAGGGGAGTATGCCAAACTGTTTCACCCAGATTCTCAACCCTGTAACCCTGACAGTCTACAGCTTGACGAATGTTCCTTCTCTGTTGTGAGGATGTCGAAACTTGCCTTCAACTGGTTTCAAAGCAACTGCGTCTTGGATGGATAGCGATGACCCTGGACATGAAAAGGGATCCAGAATGATCAAGAAATAAGGACTGGATACCTGCCTGAAAAAATGGCAAACTCATCAATCTTATTGGGGGGAACTCTTCGAGTCGGGAATGTCATAAGACTGCCTACATGTCAGTGTCATTTCGTTTCGGTTGATGGTGAAACTAGGAGCCATCCTGAATCGGAAAAAAGGATCTGATTTTTTCTGAGTTTGACTTTTCGATGATATTGCTGCTGGATGGTGGTATTTGGTGGGATATATTCATTGAGTCTGTTGTGTTGATGTGTGGATCAGGAATACGCATATGACCTTGTCTGCATTTCCAATGACATTGTGTTGGGATATTACGCTGTTTTGAAGGGTTAGTGATCACCAGCTGTGAGTTGTGTGCTTGAGGACATAAGTAACAGCAACATGGAGGTGATGAAGTCATATGAGGGGAACACCTCCAAAAAGACCACTATGCATACCCGAAAAGTTATGGAGGCAGAAATGGTGAAAAAATATGCAATTTCACCCAGAATACAAGAAATTATAGAAAGGAGTAAAAGACGAACTCTAGATCCAGCTGTCCTACGTTGTTTAGAATCTGAGTTTGATATCCATGAGGTAGGTGTAGACAAACTTTGTTCCTTGTAACAGATCTTCTTGGGGTATTTTTCCAATTTCTTTACAGTGTGTGGAATTTGCTGAATGTAAACAAATGGTGGTTTCAAGTATGAATTGCCTTATTTCTTAGAAAACAGAGCAGTCCTTTCTACTCACATACTCCACCATTCATAAGAGAATTTCTAGTAATGCATCCTTTTTCGATTTCAGAGCAATGACACACTAACAAGACAACAGGCAACCACTTCTGTAAGTATCAACCTTTACTTCATGTAGGTGTACAGGCCTACACTTCAGTTTAATCATGTACAAAGAAATCTGCATGCTTTCAGTATTGGGTTGGAAAACACAGTAAACTACTTTTATAACGAACAGGCTTTTAACAAACTTGTTTTTTCTCTTGGACATTTGCTGTAAATATGCTTATAATGAACTATGGTTAAATGAACTAAAATTAGTGGTCCCTCTGAGTTCATTAAAACCATAGTTTACTGTAGTTACAATTAATTTTGCCATTGTTTTCCTGTGATACGAATACTATCTTCAACAAATTTAATATCTACATTTAACATTACTGCATATTAAACTGGATAGTGCCTCTTTTATTACTTCTTATCTGCCTTGGGGTTAAATATTGTCCTTAAATCCAATCCTTGTAGCATATGACTTTCTTTGTAAAACTGAAATATTCCATATTTGATCCTGATTATATCAACTGTTTTAGAAGCACTTCTGCAAGCAATTATCACCAAATGAATAAGAGGAGGAATGCAGATTCTGATTTATTCACATGTTGCCCGGCATTGAAATATAAAAGCATGCCGAAAGACTACATCCTTGTCACAATAAAAATTAATTTGAAAGCAGTAGATCACCAAGGTCAGCTTGCCCTGCCAGTTGGCATGGAGGCAAAACACCTGCGTAGCATCGATATATCATGCAGCATACATCATCCAAAGGTTACCATGTCTGTCTGTCTGTCTATTGCAGCCACCGATATCCTCTCCTGGTTCAAAGGGAATCATGTCCAATCTCAGAGATATGATCAACAGGTGAGTGTCCATGGCTGTAACTAGTCTTATTAACAGCAATACAGTATATACAGGATATGGTGAAGAGCATTTCAGAGGGTAGTTCTCATTTGGTTTTTATATTCTTTGGAATAACTAAAGGGATGAGTGGGTCAGTCAGTGTGGACTAGTCGTCTAAAGCAAACAATTTTGAGTTGTGTCCCTTAGGCAAGCCAGAATCCGATGATGAATTCCAATTCCAGATTTGCCCTGGTTATGATTTCTGGTTTGTCATCACCATACCTGTGCTTGTGGAATTTACTGAAATGTTAAAAGTCTAATACCTTCAACAATCCTAGCTCTTGTCAAGCTGACACACTGTGACAACTGAAATACTGTTCAGAGAAGGACATGACTGTCAACTCACTGTTAGCATGTTAGGTGTCTCCAAAGGCTATCCTCCTGTCAACATTTGGATACCACTTTTTGTCAAAAGGACAGAGTGTCCATGATGAAAGAATGTCCCTGTGAGTCATGTTGAACTGTCATTAGTAGCTATAACACATCTACATCTGATGCTGTCAGTATCTTGTGATGTGACATATTCTGTGACTATACCGTTTGTTGTTTGTTTCCAGGGGCCAGGACCAGGTTGTTGAAAACCACATGGCTCTGGACCTGACCTACATCACCGAGAGGATCATTTGTAAGTAGATATGATGTAATTCATGTATAGATTCATAGCATTCATAGCCTGATCTCCTCAGGGGCCAATATTTGCTGTGTAGAGTTGCCTCCCTCAGTATCACAGGATCAACTGATTATGGGTTCAAATACCAGATTTTCCCCTATTTTGATCCTGGTGATGATTGGTCTTTCCCCCCAAATTCAGCTGAAGTACTGGTCAAAGTGGCATTAATCCAAACTCACTGACTATTGAATTCTTTTGAAGAAGCTAGATGAAGTAACTTATGTAACTGTATCTGAATATGTTCAAAATAAGATTTCAGTGACCTTGATTATTTTAAAATTTAAGACTGTGCCTGATTTATTTTTTTAAAACACAACAAAAACCACCTTGCAACAATGTATTGTATGTTTCAGGCAAAAAAAAATCAACAGTCTGAAGCATAAAATATTTTTTCAAGACATTTTGGCGACAGTTTGTTGTTACATTTGACATTATTTTCATCTTGATGAAAAAGTGTTTTGTGATTGATCAATACACATAATTTATTCTCAGTTTATTTCTGAAGTTTAGAGTTTTCTTCCCTTTGTTCCAGCTATGTCCTTCATTGCTGAAGGTCATGACACAACATACCGCGCCAACCTCAAAGAGGTCATACAGATGTTGATGGCTAGACATGGTGACAACTCACTGGTGGGTAATACACGTATTAATACATAACCGCATTCCCATCTGTCACTGTTAACATCAAACACTACATTTTCAATGGACAATCAACATACTGTTGCAGTAATTATCATCTGCCATCTGATGAGATGATAACAATTATTTCAGATTAAGGTTATTAAAGATTACTCCTCACTTTATTGTTATGACATGAATATGATCATATTTTTTCACTATTTTATGCAATATTTAGTTTATATGAAGCATATTCATGTTATCTGCTGACCAGTACTGTAATGTTTAATAAAGTAACATCATATGTTTGGGTCATGGACCAACATGCACATATAAACTTTATTGTCTAGTAAACTTCCATACATACAAATCTTTATTACATAAAAGCATTTACTATATTGCCAGTTATTGCTTGTTGTGAGAGAGACTTAGTCTGTGGATGAACAAGTTGATTTGCATGTGTTGCTCCTTGGATGTGATTTGCCCTATTTACCATGTTAATTCTACCCCATAGATCCTGAACATCTCTGAGAAGCGCCAGGACCTGGCCCGCCTCCATGCCAGGGTGCGGGACTGTGGCTGGCCGGACCATGTTGCCCCTCCCCTTGAGCGCCTCTGCAGTATATGCAAGTCTATCGACTCTTGGCTCAACTCGGACCCCATGCATGTTGTGGTCATTCACTGTAAGGGTGGCAAAGGGCGGATGGCAAACGTCATTGCAGCCTACATGCACTACAGCAACATCTGCGCCAGGTGAGCTACAGTCCCCAATAATGGAAACAGTTGGATTAGAAATGTCACTATGCATATGAAAGTGAAATATTTGATATTTTTGTGATAGATTTGATACCGAAGATTCTGGAAGAACATATATTTGATAAAAATCCATGTGAAAAAATGAATTAAAACAGCATGCCTTGAATGAACTGGTAATAATCATAATAGTAAGAAAATCAACTTTTGGGAACAGAATGTCTTGATAATAACAATAGTTTACTCCTGTTATAGAATTATTGATATCCTTGTATAAAAGGTGAGGTAATATGTATTGTGATAATATTTGACTATTGCTATGTATTTTGATGGGAATTTTATACATTAACAAAAAACAAGTATCAGATACTACTTCACTGACGTGATGAAAGCAGTGTGCTTGTGTTGTTTTTTAAATATGTGCTCATCATTGGGAGAATGTGAACATTTACTGTAGAGTATTATCCTAAAATGCATGTTTACACTTCTACAAATGTACCAGCTCTGATTCCTCCATCATTGTTCTCCGCACAACAAAATGTTTTTTCAAATCTGTAGTGCATGGTCAAAGGGGAAGTAACTCTTGCTTAGAGTTAACATGGGATCATTTGGGTATTCAAGTATAACCAATAATGGTTCCATTCTTAGATCTGTATCAGGGTTTGTCTAGATCATTTAGTTTTATTCAAATTATTTTAAAATCTATCTAATAATACTTCACGATTTGAAATGCATTAAATTTAATTTGATTGTGTGGTGCAACAGGAAAGGATGAATTTGCTTTTCAAGAATATTCAGTTTACTTACCTATTTCTTGGTGTTTGTGTCATTCAATGTTTTCTTGCAGTGCTGACCAGGCACTTGATAGATTTGCAATGAAGAGATTCTACGATGATAAACTGGGCGGCCTCCCTCAACCCTCACAGAGGAGGTAGGAACGCATTTTACATATGTTGCAAATGTTTTCTTACTCAAGCATTTTTATATATGCAGCAATAGGATGGTTGATGGATTTCTATTTGAAATAAATTGAATATTTTGTTTAAGAAAGGTTTATAAGCATATTTCTAAATTAAGAAATCTCTTAACATGACATTATGTAAATGGAATGAATAAACTTGTTTTTGTTTTTTTTCAGGTATGTACACTACTTCGCAGGATTACTATCAGGCGCTATCAAGATCAACAGTAATGCCCTCTACCTGCATCACATCTTGATCCACGGCGTCCCCAACTTTGACACCAGTGGTGGGTGTCGGCCATACATCAAGGTGTACCAGGGCATGCAGCCCATCTTCACATCAGGAGTATAGTAAGTACACACATTTCTTACACTGAAAGTATAGCAGGTTATCTCATTTCTTACACTGAAAGTATAGCAGGTTATCTCATTTCTTACAGTGGAAGTATAGCAGGTACACACATTTCTTACACTGGAAGTATAGCAGGTTATCTCATTTCTTACACTGAAAGTATAGCAGGTACACACATTTCTTACAGTGGAAGTATAGCAGGTACACACATTTCTTACAGTGGAAGTATAGCAGGTACACACATTAATTACAGTGGAAGTATTGCAGGTACACACATTTCTTACAGTGGAAGTATAGCAGGTACACATTTCTTACACTGGAAGTATAGCAGGTACACACATTTCTTACACTGGAAGTATAGCAGGTACACTCATTTCTTACACTGGAAGTATAGCAGGTACACACATTTCTTACACTGGAAGTATAGAGTAGCTCGGAGTCAGTATACGGTGTCTGAGTGGGGTATTCATGTTAAACTGTGGCATGGTATCTCAGTGGATTAGCACTATTAATCAGCATCAGTCCAGACTAGTACAAGCAGCCCCACACACACACACACACATACGCATGTGCATGCACGTCGCTATATAAGTGCAATAATCTTTATTGGTAAGGATTTTCCGCTCTATCACGAGACAACAACAGCAGTCCTTGAGGGACATTTTACTGATTGATACCAGCACCTGCAAGGAAGTTCAGAGAATGAGAATACTTCCTAAATGTTGCACTTCACTGTAGTGTCCACTTTTCCCTCCATCAGCCAGCTGTCAAGTGTTTACTCATCTTTGTCGTTACTGTTTTCTCCTAAATATATTCATGGGACATCATTGACCCATGTATCCTCAGTTGACTCATGAGGCATTCATTCAGTCACACAAGTCGGAAGCTGTTTTGATACAGTCAGATAGCCAAGTTTGTTTACTTTAGTATGCAGAATAGCTATGACATAATGTTGCAACGTGATTGATAATGGCTCATCTGGAAAAAGAGGGCATTATCAAGTTAAAGTAACACACACTTTGCCTGAAAACTTGCAGGCCATAGTATACTTCCATCCATTTTAGCTGCAACCAATATATATAGAGGGTGTATGGTATAAAAGTATAAAACAATTTTCTATTTCACTTAAAAAACAATTACATGTACACAAACTTACATGGGTGTTCACAGTGATAACTAATTTGATGTTAAAGCATTGTTTTCAACTCATCAAAAATGTTCCAGATTACATTCAGAAGAATAAACTCCTATGATAGATTGCTGAAATGCTGAAATATACTACTGAGGATCATGTATTCAAATTTTTTAAATATGATATTGGCTATCATGTGTTGAAAATGTTGACTTGTACTACTGTGGATCATGTGTTGAGATATACTACTGTGGATCATGTGTTGAATTATACAACTATGGATCCTCTGTTGAATTATGCTACTGTGTATCGTGTGTTGCAAATGTTGAATTATGCTACTCTGGATCATGTGTTGAAATATACTACTATGGATCCTGTGTTGAATTATACTACTGTGGATCGTGTGTTGCAAATGTTGAATTATACTACTGTGGATTGTGTGTTGCAAATGTTGAATTATACTGCTGTGGATCATGTGTTGCAAATGTTGAATTATACTACTGTGGATCGTGTGTTGCAAATGTTGAATTATACTACTGTGGATCCTGTGTTGCAAATGTTGAATTATACTACTGTGAATCCTGTGTTGCAAATGTTGAAATATACTTCTGTGGATCCTGTGTTGCAAATGTTGAAATATACTACTGTGTATCGTGTGTTGCAAATGTTGAAATATACTACTGTGGATCGTGTGTTGCAAATGTTGAATTATACTACTGTGGATCCTGTATTGCAAATGTTGAAATATACTACTGTGGATCATGTGTTGCAAATGTTGCAACATGATACTGGAGATCGCATGTGAGGTCCTGCAAGAACTCCATAAGTTTGAAACTTCTGTTGGAGACATATGGAAAAGATCCTGTGTGAGCACTTCCTGGTGTGTAGATGGGCAGTATCTTGACATGCTAATCAAGCAAGCTTACATCATCAGATTGTAGAAATTGATATATTGTGAAAGGTGGTTACATATACAGTCAAACACCATTGTGTCAAACTTTGATGTGCCGAACTTGTGGCTCCTGAAGTAAAAGCTTCAAAATAAAGAATCAAAATAACCTAAATAATGACATTAAAAATACCTATAATTGTAAGGCAGTAGTTTCTGTTAAAAGTTTAAAAAATTGATTTTGTTCATCTGTTTAAAATATTTCTTCTGGGTGGATCATGTTGTTTAATTCTGGTAATATAATCCTTCTTGAACTGTGACATTGTTGAAATGAGCAAAAGTAATCCTGTTTTTCCTGAATCAAGCTGCAGTGTTTTACCATTCTCACAGTCACCATAATTACTGAACACTTGTCATTATAGATAATAAGTCAGTGTCATGATGTGCACCTAATCTAAATGCCTGAATGGCAGACAGGAGTAGGGATCAAAGACTGATAAGGTTGAAGAATTATTTCCCAAAATATCTCACACTTCAAAGCCCTATGTTTAGAACACACAGTTGTTCCACACAAAAATGCCAACTAACAAACCCAGTACACAGAAACACAAAGTATATCCAAGCCAACTCCAAGGCAGCAAATCAACATTCCTTTCAGCACAAGTGTTCAGGGTAGGACAAACCTGTAACAAGTCATGGCAGTGACTAAAACTGAAGCAACTTCTTTCATACACTTGCTTAGGTCTCCACAACAAATTGATGCACATGAAAAAGATGGATAATCACATCATTATAAACATCTTTTGATAAAGTTATCATTCCTAGTTGTATATGTCCATAGGTGCTTCAGTGGTGAGTTTATATATGGATTGGCAAATGATTGTTTTGATTTTGAATCATGACACACAGACGGAAATTGAGTCTATGTTCAGGTTGGCATTCCTGCGAAAAATGTGTGAGCAGGACTTGCTAGAAATAGCCCTATGACGAAGTTGAGTGAGTGTTGCAGCGAGTCTAGCTGCCTCACAGAGGAGGGAGGGAAGCTTCCACTATGACTAATTTAGGACTGCCGAGGGAAGAAGTCTTCTGGATCAAGTTTCAGGAAGACAGCCCAGGTGCTTCATGAGAGGAGGGGTGCTAAGGCAGTGGTTGGAAGGGGAGAGGATGAGATAAACCAATACAGTAGTGGTTGGAGGCGGTGGGCAGAGGACGAATCACATGGATAGTGGTGGGAGAGGGGAGTATGGGCAGTGGTTGGAGGTGGGGGGAAGAATCAAGACAGCAGTTGGAGGTACAGGGCGACAGGGAAAGAGGATCAGTTCAAAGGCCATTGTTGGTGGGGGAAAGAATATATACCATAGGCAGTGGTTGATAGGCAGAGTGCACTACACCAGTGATTTTACAGCTATTTTTGTTGCAGGTTCTGTATGAAAAACAAGTTATAACTGTTTGATGCTGTTTGTTGAAGTTCAGAATTGTCGCTAATTTGCTGTGAGTGAATGTAAGGTATTGGCGAAAGAGCAAGACTCTGAGCAGGGTCAGTGGTTTGCGGAATTGTAATATGTAAGGAATGGGGCAGTTAGGAAGTTAGTTACAACTGTATGTAGTACACAAGGAGCATGCTGTCTTCCATATTGTCAATGGTTGGAGTAGCACTGAGATCAGAGATTGTGTGCAACCAAGGGTGTAATGTCCATGTGTGTATGTGGTTGCATGATGCTTTGTAAGATCAAGCAATGTAAGCTGTGTTAAAGTAGGGTTGAGCTATCCTGAGAGTGTAACTTGTCACTTGAACAGTAATATCAGACCATAAAACCCAACACACCACCCTCAGTTACATCAGACCCTCACACCCAACACACCACCCTCAGTTACATCAGACTCTCACACCCAACACACCTCCCTCAGTTACATCAGACCCTCACACCCAACACACCATCCTCAGTTACACAAGACCCCCACACCCAACACATCACCCTCAGTTACATCAGACTCTCACACCCAACACACCTCCCTCAGTTACATCAGACCTTCACACCCAACACACCACCGTCAGTTACATCAGACCCTGACACCCAACACACCTCCCTCAGTTACATCAGACCCTCACACCCAACACACCACCTTAAGTTACATCAGACCCTCACTCCCCACACACTATCAGACTCTCACACCCAACACACCACCCTCAGTTACATCAGACCCTCACACCCAACACACCACCCTCAGTTACATCAGACCCTCACACCCAACACACCAAGGTCAGTTACATCAGACTCTCACATCCAACACACCACCCTCAGTTACATCAGACCCTCACTCCCCACACACTATCAGACTCTCACACCCAACACACCACCCTCAGTTACATCAGACTCTCACACCCAACACACCCCCCTTAGTTACATCAGACCCTCACACCCAACACACCACCCTCAGTTACATCAGACCCTCACACCCAACACACCAAGGTCAGTTACATCAGACCCTCACACCCAACACACCACCCTCAGTTACATCAGACCCTCACACCCAACACACCAAGGTCAGTTACATCAGACCCTCACACCCAACACACCAAGGTCAGTTACATCAGACTCTCACACCCAACACACCACCCTCAGTTACATCAGACTCTCACACCCAACACACCACCCTCAGTTACATCAGACCCTCACACCCAACACACCAAGGTCAGTTACATCAGACTCTCACACCCAACACACCACCGTGAGTTACATCAGACTCACACCCAACACACCACCCTCAGTTACATCAGACCCTCACACCCAACACACCTACCTCAGTTACATCAGACCCTCACACCCAACACATTGTCAGACTCTCACACCCAACACACCACCCTCAGTTACATCAGACCCTCACACCCAACACACAACCCTCAGTTACATCAGACCCTCACACCCAACACACTATCAGACTCTCACACCCAACACACCACCCTCAGTTACATAAGACCCTCACACCCAACACACCACCCTCAGTAACATGGCAGATACTGTAGCTGGCTGAAGGGCCCTGACTACTCTCCAACAGTGGATGCTACCAGGGCAGAGGACTGCCCTTGGAATGTTGATGCCGGTGGGATAGGATTACTTTGAAAATACGATCCCATAAAAGGAATTAACACAATCACTTCTTGATAAAGTTTATCTTTGTTACATATTTCCCAAAGCAAGGTGACACAAAGTATTTTTATAAACTACTTCTATTTGGTATTGGTCTCTGTAAGATGCATTTACTTATTAGCAAATGAAAATTATAGCTTCACAACATATCAATCAAGTGTTGTTTTTAGTTTCAAAGTATTTAAGCATTCCCTGGTTGACACATTAAAGTAGTGCAGCAGGTTGTTATCACGTGATGTATGAGAGAGGAACAAGGGAGGAAGAATATATCTGTATCAAAATACTGGGAAAGATAACAATGCTGCAGTGAAAACTTGGGAGGAGGGAGAGGGTGTGACGATTGCACTTAAATTTGGCCCTAGTGAATGATAATTCACTGCTTGAATATAAACTTGCCAATGTTTGAACGCACATTTTGAAACATCCACAACCTATTTTAATATATTCATGTGTATAGGTAGACAGCATTAGTATAAAAATGATGTGCATTGTAGGTATAACATTCTCTTTATGTTGAATACTCTATCAGAACACATGCTTCAGGATAGCAGTATGTCACTCAAAGTAATCAAACATGTGGTATTTCGTGTTGGAGCTATACTTCATCGTTTAAATTATCCGCATTGCCTTGTTGTAAAATTGCAGTCATCCATTGTTTCTCTGGAGCCAGTCTGTTCATGTGGGATGCCAAGACAATGAATAGCTATCGATGGGTCATGCTGTGTGAAATAAAACAGACTGACTTTACTGGATCCGTGAATTAGATGCAGAAGCATCTCTAGATTTTGTGGTGTAAAAAAATCAATAAGTGCAATCAGTTTTGATAGTATCTGGTTATTTTTACTATGCTTAATTTATTGTTCATGCAGAGATCCATAAAAGTTGATTATGATTAGAAACACTTTTTACCCCAGACTGTGCGGTGTGTTTTAACCCAGTCTTTTGGTACTTATCCAAGTATTGATGCATGATGTGATACAGACATGATCACACAGTGATTTGAGGAGGATACTGGATTTATGCATGGATGTATGAAAAATGAATCAGCTGTGTCCTCTACAATTATTATAGAGTAGAATTGTAGAGTATATGGGATTCATGTTCATGTAAGGAGAAAGAAGTGTAGAAATATCCTGTCTCTTTCACCTTGAACAACTAGATAGGAGCCCATTTTATAACTCCACCTACAAACACAAGAATCATAGTGGATTGCCACATTCTAAAACATGTAAGCAATCTGTGTAATATTAATCTTGTGATGCCCACTCTCTGTGTAGCAGATTACTTGTCTTCATTAACCAGGATTAACCGAAGATCCGGGATAGAATAGGTCTTCAGCAACTAATGCTTGTCGTAAGAGGCGCCTAATGGCATCATTGTAACCCAATTGCGTGGATCGATGCTCATGACGTCAATCACTGGATTGTCTAGTATTTACAGACCACCATCATATAGCTGGAATATTGCTGAGTGTGGCGTTAAACAACAAACAAACAAACAAAAACTTGTCTTCATTAAAACAATAGCTAATGCACACACAATTACCAATTTAATTTAGTGCATCCTGCATTGATGTAGAATATATGTTGTGGCCTTGATGGCCAGAACACACCAATTGTTTACTCTTTCCTAAGAGAGATAGATTGGAGATATGTTATGGTCAACCAAAGTAACAACAGCCACAGACCAACTGGATAGCACAAACATAATGGTGTTGTCTCCTGATACACACAACCTTGGTTGACTTCCCATGAGGTACTAAAACCACTCGCTGCTGTCACCAGCATGAATCAATGGTCTGTATGTAATAAAGCATTCTCTACTTCACAGCAATGTGACAGACAACATGCAGAAGGTATGCATCTCGATATCCCCTGGCATCCCACTGCGAGGTGACATCCTGATGAAGTGCTACCACAAGAAGACCCGCACAGGACAGCGCGAGATGATCTGGAGGTGTCAGTTCCACACCTGTGCTATCTCCGACTACAACCTTGTCTTCACCAAGCAGGAGCTGGACGATGCAATCAATGGTGAGCTTTCTTCATTTTCATTGACCATCACAGGAAATATCATGTATCTTGTATGTTTGAACCCCAGAATTCTCCTTGGTAGCAGCCAAACTAAGACAAGCATTATGGAACATGTTGAACATGCTGTCAAAGACTGTGTTATCTTGTTGATGTCTGGATTAGAGTTCAGTTGAGTATGGCTAGTTCTTGAAGTTAATGGCAGTCTAATGACTCTCCTCCAATGTCTGGCTACATTAGTGTGTCTTCTGACTTTGTCACTACATTGGTTGTCTGATCCTCCAGACCAACCTGCCGGTGCCTGCTACCAGCTAAAGGGTTGGGATGGGGCCACATTTATTGCCCAGGGATCTGTACTGTTTACACCCCAGCCACCCTGTACTATTTGTGGATACTCCATTCTGAACTGACAGGGAATGTGTTACGTGGAAATATATTTGTTGCCTTAATCTGGGTATCAGTTATCACTCTTATCTAAGTATTTACTTCAAGCTGTGTCGAACTTTTGTAAAGATGTGTGAAAAGTGTGTGAATCAAGAATCTTAACCTCATAATTCAGTTGATTAATGAAAAAGATATGACTTCAGATTGTAATGCTAATTACCTGACATTGGACCCATGGTAATTCATGAGATGAACTGATTGCTGTAGTTGATTGTTTATAGTACATATTCTACTGAAATGCTCCTGTGTTTCAAGGTTGTAGGCGGCTTCAGTACTTGCTTAGTCACTTATCTCACTGATTACATGTCTGAAGGCTGCACTTCTTCTGGATGGGCAAACACTCAACATGAAACACGATGCTAAAACCCACCCTTCTCTATCAGACATATGAGGATAAGTTGAAATATGGGACAGGAACCACTGGAAATGTTGCAGGAAATAATATTATGACATCTGTTACAAGCACTGCTTGTACCTGATACACATATACTGAGGAAGCTTTTGAGGTCTGACATTGATCGATGAATGACAGGAAGCTATATCTGAAGTGTAGAGCTGTGTGATAAAGTTGTGATAGAGAGGAAGTTGTTCCCCAGCCTCCTCCGTGTGGCTCATGCTGGTCGACACATCATCTGTATACTGCTGGGGTAGCAAGATACAGGAGCATCTCTTGGCTGAACCAATTTCAAGTTCCAGGACCGGAGAATAATTTGCATCAAATATTTGGGATGTACTTCATGAAGAGTGAACCTGTTTTGACAAAATGATTTCTAGTTTTGCATCACACACACAACTTAGTTCTATGACTTATATGATCAGTGTATATATGCATCAAAGAAAGAAAAAGTTTTGATTTCAGAATGTGTGAAAATCTATGCTTGCAGACGCTCTTGTATGAATTCAAAAGCAGAAATTATTGTGTCTTGTACCATTTGGTAATACAAGTTGCCAGGGTCCTTCCCATATTCATTCTTGGTTCTGCTGGCTTCAGTACAATGCAGTTTTATTTGTACAACCTGTCAGACTGAGCTGGGGCGCCTCGTTAGCATCAGGATGTTGGCATGCATGGTTGGGAGCAGGAGTGTAAGCCTAACACACTGAAGTTGCCAAGCCAGTGACCAGACCAGAATGTCATTACCCATTATGGAATTATTGTTATACATCATGTACACTTGGCTCTGTCAAATGCGAAACTTCTCATCTGGGAAACTGTTTCAGTCAATTGGTCAGACAGACAGGCCAGTACCTAGATGCACCTGCTGCTTGTCCACAAAGTCTGTTCCCATGTTAAGTGCAGATTCTGTGTAGAATGCCCTATGACCAAATACCATCATCATTGACTCTACTGGGTGGATTGTCTTTACCTTGTGTTTATGTAACTTCTGACCGTACACTACATCAAAAGATGTATTGCCCTGGTTGCCCTGATGTGGACAGATTGCTTACCAGCATTACATCTCATTGCGTCTTTACCTCATGGCTCATTTCATAAGGGTCATTTCTTGGTGTCACGTCTCTTCTTGGTGTCGCATCTCATGGTATGACTGCAGCATTATTACACACAGCATGATCCACTCACTGCACCCCTTCATTATGCCGCTGGAGGTAAGTGCATATGCTTAATGTTCACCCCATCAACACATGCACTCAGGGTACTGGTGGACACACATGTTTTTGTGTACATGTCTGTTTTCTTGTATGTTTACATAAAAATGAATGCTCCCCTGATGCATGATAAGCGAGGTCAGTGTTCTGGAAAGGATCTTCAGTTGGCAGTACTCTTTACTATGCTGCTTCCCTGATGGACCCAACAGATGCCATCATTACCTCTGGCCAGTGCTATGTCACATTCACTCACTAACTCAACTGGTATAGGTTATAAAGTATGTTATTTACCCTGATTCACCCAAAGTGGGTTAAAATATTTTCATTAGACACTTAACACGTTCCCTTCTTAAAACAGTATAGAATGTGGACAGTTTCAACTGTGTTCTCCTTTTAATGTTATGAGTTCTACCCCAGAATGTTAACTCACCAAACATCTGCAGTATACATAATTAGTACCTCAGTTAGGCTGTAACATACACCTTTGCACTGTCATGCACACGCATGCCCTCAGTATGTGGTACATTATGTCACTGTGTGTTATGCACATGAGCTGTTCCCTAGTGCTTGTTGGGTCACACATTCCTGTAACAGGTCAGTTACAAACATGTGCTCACTGCACTTACTGATCAGAATATATTCATAATACATTGACTCAGCTACTTACAAAATCCCTACAGTGCCAGTATGGTGTTAAGGAGGCATTACAGCATATCCATGCATTTCATATTTGACAAGAAGAAAAACTGTCACTGGATATGTATCTTTTAGAAGCTTAGTTATTTACTGTATGTATTTAGACATACAGTAGAGCATGGATATAACAAACTACAAGGGACCGGAGAAATCAGTTCATTATATACGTTGTTTGTTATATACGATTTCGCTCAGAGACGTCCACCATCTCGGCTAAAGCAAAACACAATACACATACACGTTTATACACGTTTCCTCCCGCATCTACCGATAATTAAGTTAAAAAGTACCCAATGATAGGATCAATGTTTGTTTTACAGACAAGACTGGTCCAAATTACATGGACAGGTAAGATTAACATAATGCAAGTTTAACAAGGTCAAATCATCACCAGTGATTGTGTTTTGATTCTCCGCGATTGTGTTGATTGCATACAGCCAATTGTCAGTGACACTTGACACTGAGTGAGTTTCTCAGTTTGCTATACACGTCACTAATTAGTGGAGATAGGCCCTGTTGGTGATCAGATTTCAGTTTACTATATACGTTAGTTCGCTGTAGAGAGTTTGTTATGTACGTAAATTCTATATGTTAATATATATCTAATAGATAAATCAGGGCTTTTTTAACAGTTTGTCGTATTCGTTTGTTCGCGCTCCCCGTTTACGTTATATCCGTGTATAGACTTTCAGGCTACTGACTTCATATGTGTCAAAATGGAAAAACCAATATTATTGTCCACTGTTGTGTGGCTCCTTCACTAGGTTATAGTCAATACTGTATCCATAGCAGCATGTGAGTTAGCCTTGTCTTCCATCTCCCTGTGTCCAGGTGGTACCACTGATACACCCTGCATACCTGTCTGATCTGGTCTCTTCCTACCTATGTGCTGCATCCACTGGCCCCTGTGGGGAAGCAGGTGCTCTTTCTCTGTTCAATGTGTTACACACTAGTATCCCAGTGTATGGGGAAACTTACACATTGCAGGTCCATCAGTGTGTGGCATGTCTGACTGTTCCTTCAAGGTAGAGTGCTTTATGTACAACCTTCATGGTTTCTGTCTTGTTTCTGATGTTCCCATGTTCTCATCATTTGTGACAAGTGGTTGTTGTACACTGTCATCTTGTACAGGGCAGTTTGCTGTAGCACTTCCTGAATGTGATTGATTCTGTGAAAAGGAACACCCCAGAGACATGCTCATTGTCTGTTGTGTGTAATAAGATATCTTAATTAGTGCCTTGCATCAATGCTGAGTAGTGATTTCTGTTCTACTCTTTTCCCAAATATTGCCAAATGTGTTGAATATCAACAGTCAGGTAATCATTTCTGCTCTGAATTGTGCCCCTTCTCTACTGTTTGTTATACGTCAGTAGTCTTCCCAGTTTCATGTAACAGGTAGGTACTTCAGCTCTACATAGTACCCACTGTTCTAATCTGTGGTCAGTGGTCTCCACAGTGGTGTGTAATAGGTGATTATTTCTGCTCTACATAGTACCCACTGTTCTAATCTGTGGTCAGTGGTCTCCACAGTGGTGTGTAATAGGTGATTATTTCTGCTCTACATAGTACCCACTGTTCTAATCTGTGTGGTCAGTGGTCTCCACAGTGGTGTGTAAAAGGTAATTATTTCTGCTCTACATAGTACCCACTGTTCTAATCTGTGGTCAGTGGTCCCCACAGTGGTGTGTAAAAGGTGATTATATCTGCTCTACATGGTACCCACTTCTCCAGTGTGTTGCACATCAGCAGTGTCCTGAACAACTCTGTTACAATTAGGAGGGGTGTTGTAATAAAGCAGTTGTTCATCCATATATCTTATCCTTACTTATCACTCCAACTAAATTCGTCTCAGAAAAATTATCTGTAACAGGTAGTTATTTCTGTTCTACAGTGTACACAAGACTTCCCAAATGTGTTGCACATCAGCCGTCTCCACATTGTCCTGTATCATACTGTAGTTGCATATTAGTATGGTTCACTTGCCTCTACAAACACCCAGCAAGAGAGAATAGCTACTCTGGTGTTGGGTTACAGGGATTTGTCTGCAGGGACTACTGAGCCCTTTCTTTTTCACCTTTCACCCAAGGTGCAATAAAATGTTCCAGTGCTGATGGGTAGCTGAGTGTAACACAAGAGGAAATGTGGCCTAGGTGGCTTCTACATACTGAAGTTAACTGTTTCCATTATCTTGCTGCAGATAGCTATACATTCATGATCTGAATGCCTGTGTATGACCACCTGCCTCGATCAGTTGGAATACTTGGAAACTGTAATACAGTAAGTTAGATAATGTAGCTGACAGCTTCTTTTCATGGTTTGAAGATAGTTTGCATTTGATATATATATATCTAGAGACTCTTTTTGAGATTTTTACTTCAATATTCAGTGTGCAGTAGTTTGACTATTGGATTATCATAAGGCCTTTTCAGCAGACGTTCAAATTGCAAAGAATTGAATTGAGCACTTGAGGATTTGTGGCTATCCCAAGAAATCCAATGTTTTAGGTTAGCCTAGATTCTCAATTAAATGGGACTGCAGGTGGGCAAGACTCTTGATAACTGGTAACCCCTGTAAGTCTCTGTTTGGATTTGTCAGCTCTTATCATTTCAACAGCTTATTTCTCAGCCAGCCCTGGTCAGGAAATAAAGGTGGTGAAATGTCTTCTCTGACAATTCTTTGAGTGGGTAATCCTGACAACGTCAGCACACAAGTTCCGACAAAGCCAACAGGTTCCGCAGTTTGGGGTGTTGGAATGTTCTATCATGTTATGGATTGTGGACCAGCTATAGCTACGTATATATCAAAGCTGGAGGGAGGGAAGCAAGGGCCCTCCAGGAAATAAATGGCTCCTTTGCTATGACCTTTCATGCCATTAAGCTAGTGATGGGGCAGAAGAGGGACTGATTCATCAAGACGTGAGCTAATTTGGTAGCATGCTATTTCTGTCAGCATGAGACAGTTATTGAATATTAACCATATACTTGTTCCATTTAAATCCCATAGTGTTGTTCACAACTTAAATTGTTGGAGGTGTTGAGTTTCATTTTGACTGTCTAATGTAGTGTTCTGAAAGTGGATTGGAAGTTGACATTTGGGAGCGGTTCCAACAATTCAGCCATCAACATAGTTTCAGGATTACTGGTTAGCTGCGATTTATACCTGGTGAGATCACCTGCCGTTGGTTCTCAGAAAGTGGCTGTTACAGTCAGGAGAGATACAGTCTGTTGAAATTACTTATCTAGGAAATAACTTATCTAAGGAAAATATGGAACTAATATAAATAAATATTGGTTTTCTGATGGCTTATAAAGAACTTTCTTGAATGAGAGTATTCCCAAGTTTGTCTCAGTATCTACAAACTGCATACTTTCCTGTCATAGATGCAGTCAGGCATCATAGATTTCTTATCTGATATTTTACATAAGAAACTGACATGTTCGAGGAATAGTTCATCAGGTCTATGGTTTCACCATACTTTCCGTATTACACCCCATTCCTCCACTAGCTGTGCCCACCTGAGGCTAAAACACAACACCTAAAGTCTCTTATCCTATGATCTGTTAGTAGCCATTATTGTAATAATAACTGACAACAGCAGATGGAGAATTGGCCAGAGACATGATTGCCCGACCCATGGCGCTATAAAGGGGAGGTATAATCGCCCCCTCTGCTGAGTCCAGAATGGGATGCAGATCTGTACAGCAGCATTCCCAATGCCTGACACCATCCCACTATCAACAGGTTCCTCACAAGTGGCAACTCTTGGGGTTGCCACGGTGATCCACGGATGTCGGCCATCTTGGAACTATCTCTGAGAGGGGGAAGTTTTGTGAGTTCTCATGGCTTGGCTGCTCAGAGCCTAAACTCCTCGGATAAAGTAGTTTTGTTTCGTCTGGAATTATTTCTTCATTGTAGAAGGATGTGAAGTGATATCATGTATTTTGAGGATGGATTAAGGACTAAGTTGTTTGTTTTGTGACAAGTTCGTTGGATTGCATATCTGCCTTCTGGGATACCTCTAGCAGTGTGAAGGCAAGTTTCTCATTGGTGTGTTCATGTGGAAACAGGTAATGTCATGATCATGAAATCAAAATAATAACATGAAGAACATGGTTATATGCATGATACAAATCATGTAACATATGTTTATTTCAATGAGACTTGTTGAAAACTTTGAAACCAATTAGTTCTCACCCAAAATGATATGCCTGATGCATTGACATGTTGATAATATGGATTTATATGATTGTACTAAGACATTTGGTCTAACAGAATTGGGTAGGGTAGAGGAAGCCAGGGTTTTTGCCAGGGATGTTTTTGTGAAGTTATTGTATGTGTTGTGCAGAATACTGGTCTTGATACCTACAGGTTGAAACAAGTACACCAACACCCACAGCAAATGTCAGACTCCCATTACATACAGTCAAACTCTTTGATGCTCAGAATCTGCCAGAAATCTCAATTGTAATGAGAATCACATTTGTACAGGTTTATCAATTGTTGCTAGAAGTGTTTCCAAGATTTGTTTTGAATTTGGGTGGATGGCGTCAAATGTGATTCATGTGACCTGATTTCTGCAACCTCCACGGTGCCCTCCCTCCCTTCCTCTCCCCCTCTCCCCCACCCCACCTCTCCAGATGTCAGTGTGTATGCACATGTGAGTAAAGGCCATACACTAGATGGGCAGTCAGGCTGCTGGCATTAACATAACTGCAGGCTCTGTTGGGAGGTTAATGATAAAAGTAGGACATGATATCACATAAGCTATCATTTTCAAACAGGACTGGACAGTCTCAGCAGAATGTCAGTACAGGAACATAATTTTGAGTTGTGCAGCTTAAATGGCATTAAAATAAGTTTCAAATAAATCAGGTACATGTTGTACATTGATTCCACTGTTTGACTGGCCACAAACGTTAATCAAACGATACTCTGACAGCTCAGATTCTGTTTGGAATGCCTGGGTAGTACCATAATACCAGAATCAAATCAGTTTCCACTGACTTTGTTCATGCTGTGAGGTTCAAGTGCTCATTCCTCTTCATCTCGTTGTTATGGACAGCAACAAGACTTGGAGTTTATTTCTCTGCAACAAGATAGGCATTCAGTGCATATGTCGAAATTATCAAGACATACACCAGAGATTTTCTGTCTTGTGTAGCTGACATATTTAAATGATTAGGTAAGTTAGCACTCATGTTCATATTCAGAGCACCATGTTCAAAATGGAAACTTTATGAACATATATCTCATGGTTAGTTCAACAGTGTGTTTCGGATGTTGGCACACATTTTCTATTGTACATAGTATTCATTTTGCATCTGTATGTTTATGTTTCAGATCCACGGTTCCCTGATTCAGGAAAAGTAGAATTTGTGTTTGGTCCACGGTCTGATGGTTTGGTTTCAGGTGAGTACTTCTATGTCCTTCTACTGTATAATGTATAACTAGTGTGTCCAGCAGAGAACAACTTCTATGTCCTTCTACTGCATAATGTATAACTAGTGTGTCCAGTGAGGGAGAACTTCTATGTCCTTCTACTGCATAATGAATAACTAGTGTGTCCAGTGAGGGAGAACTTCTATGTCCTTCTACTGTATAATGTATAACTACTGTGTCCAGTGAGGGAGAACTTCTATGTCCTTCTACTGTATAATGTATAACTAGTGTGTCCAGTGAGGGACAACTTCTATGTCCTTCTACTGTATAATGTATAACTAGTGTGTCCAGTGAGGGAGAACTTCTATGTCCTTCTACTGTATAATGTATAACTAGTGTGTCCAGCAGGGGATAACTTCTATGTCCTTCTAGTGTATAATGTATAACTAGTGTGTCCAGTGAGGGAGAACTTCTATGTCCTTCTACTGTATAATGTATAACTAGTGTGTCCAGTGAGGGAGAACTTCTATGTCCTTCTACTGTATAATGTATATCTAGTCAGTCCAGTGGGGGAGAACTTCTATGTCCTTCTACTGTATAATGTATAACTAGTGTGTCCAGCAGGGGAGAACTTCTATGTCCTTCTACTGTATAATGTATAACTAGTGTGTCCAGTGAGGGAGAACTTCTATGTCCTTCTACTGTATAATGAATAACTAGTGTGTCCAGCAGGGGAGAACTTCTATGTCCTTCTACTGTATAATGTATAACTAGTGTGTCCAGTGAGGGAGAACTTCTATGTCCTTCTACTGTATAATGTATAACTAGTGTGTCCAGTGAGGGAGAACTTCTATGTCCTTCTACTGTATAATGTATAACTAGTGTGTTCAGCGGGGGAGAACTTCTATGTCCTTCTACTGTGTAATGTATAACTAGTGTGTCCAGCAGGGCAGAACGTCTATGTCCTTCTACTGTATAATGTATAACTAGTGTGTCCAGCAGGGCAGAACGTCTATGTCCTTCTACTGTATAATGTATAACTAGTGTGTCCAGTGAGGGAGAACTTCTATATCCTTCTACTGTGTAATGTATATCTAGTCAGTCCAGTGGGGGAGAACTTGTATGTCCTTCTACTGTATAATGTATAACTAGTGTGTCCAGCAGGGGAGAACTTCTATGTCCTTCTACTGTGTAATGTAAAACTAGTGTGTTCAGCAGGGGAGAACTTCTATGTCCTTCTACTGTATAATGTATAACTAGTGTGTCCAGCAGGGCAGAACGTCTATGTCCTTCTACTGTATATTGTATAACTAGTGTGTCCAGTGAGGGAGAACTTCTATGTCCTTCTACTGTATAATGTATAACTAGTGTGTCCAGCAGGGGAGAACTTCTATGTCCTTCTACTGTGTAATGTAAAACTAGTGTGTTCAGCAGGGGAGAACTTCTATGTCCTTCTACTGTATAATGTATAACTAGTGTGTTCAGCGGGGGAGAACTTCTATGTCCTTCTACTGTGTAATGTTTATCTAGTGTGTCCAGTGAGGAAGAACTTCTATGTCCTACGACTGTATAATGTATAACTAGTGTGTCCAGCAGGGGAGAACTTGTATGTCCTTCTACTGTATAATGTATAACTAGTGTGTTCAGCGGGGGAGAACTTCTCTGTCCTTCTGTTGTATAATGTATAACTAGTGTGTTCAGCAGGGGAGAACTTGTATGTCCTTCTACTGTATAATGTATAACTAGTGTGGCCAGCAGGGGAGAACTTCTATGTCCTTCTACTGTATAATGTATAACAAGTGTGTCCAGCAGGGGAGAACTTCTATGTCCTTCTACTGTATAATGTATAACAAGTGTGTCCAGCAGGGGAGAACTTCTATGTCCTTCTACTGTATAATGTATAACTAGTGTGTTCAGCAGGGGAGAACTTCTATGTCCTTCTACTGTATAATGTATAACTAGTGTGTCCAGCAGGGGAGAACTTCTATGTCCTTCTACTGTATAATGTATAACTAGTGTGTTCAGCAGGGGAGAACTTCTATGTCCTTCTTCTGTATAATGTATAACTAGTGTGTTCAGCGGGGGAGAACTTCTATGTCCTTCTACTGTATAATGTATAACTAGTGTGTCCAGTGAGGGAGAACTTCTATCTCCTTCTACTGTATAATGTATAACTAGTGTGTCCAGCAAGGGACAACTTCTATGTCCTTCTACTGTATAATGTATAACTAGTGTGTCCAGTGAGGGACAACTTCTATGTCCTTCTACTGTATAATGTATAACTAGTGTGTCCAGTGAGGGAGAACTTCTATGTCCTTCTACTGTATAATGTATAACTAGTGTGTCCAGTGAGGGACAACTTCTATGTCCTTCTACTGTATAATGTATAACTACTGTGTCCAGCAGGGAACAACTTCTATGTCCTTCCACTGATAAAGGTATAACTAGTGTCTCCAGCAGGGCAGATTGTCTATGTCCTTCTACTGTATAATGTATAACTAGTTTGTCCAGCAGGGGACAACTTCTATGTCCTTCTACTGTATAATGTATAACTAGTGTGTCCAGTGAGGGACAACTTCTATGTCCTTCTACTGTATAATGTATAACTAGTGTGTCCAGTGAGGGACAACTTCTATGTCCTTCCACTGCATAATGTATAACTAGTGTGTCCAACAGGGAACAACTTCTATGTCCTTCTACTGTATAATGTATAACTAGTGTGTCCAGCAGGGCAGAACGTCTATGTCCTTCTGTTGTATAATGTATAACTAGTGTGTCCAGCAGGGCAGAACGTCTATGTCCTTCTGTTGTATAATGTATAACTAGTGTGTCCAGCAGGGCAGAACGTCTATGTCCTTCTGTTGTATAATGTATAACTAGTGTGTCCAGCAGGGCAGAACGTCTATGTCCTCCTACTGTATATTGTATAACTAGTGTGTCCAGTGAGGGAGAACTTCTATGTCCTTCTACTGTATAATGTATAACTAGTGTGTCCAGCAGGGGAGAACTTCTATGTCCTTCTACTGTGTAATGTAAAACTAGTGTGTTCAGCAGGGGAGAACTTCTATGTCCTTCTACTGTATAATGTATAACTAGTGTGTTCAGCGGGGGAGAACTTCTATGTCCTTCTACTGTGTAATGTTTATCTAGTGTGTCCAGTGAGGAAGAACTTCTATGTCCTACGACTGTATAATGTATAACTAGTGTGTCCAGCAGGGGAGAACTTGTATGTCCTTCTACTGTATAATGTATAACTAGTGTGTTCAGCGGGGGAGAACTTCTCTGTCCTTCTGTTGTATAATGTATAACTAGTGTGTTCAGCAGGGGAGAACTTGTATGTCCTTCTACTGTATAATGTATAACTAGTGTGGCCAGCAGGGGAGAACTTCTATGTCCTTCTACTGTATAATGTATAAGTAGTGTGTCCAGCAGGGGAGAACTTCTATGTCCTTCTACTGTATAATGTATAACAAGTGTGTCCAGCAGGGGAGAACTTCTATGTCCTTCTACTGTATAATGTATAACTAGTGTGTTCAGCAGGGGAGAACTTCTATGTCCTTCTACTGTATAATGTATAACTAGTGTGTCCAGCAGGGGAGAACTTCTATGTCCTTCTACTGTATAATGTATAACTAGTGTGTCCAGCAGGGGAGAACTTCTATGTCCTTCTACTGTGTAATGTAAAACTAGTGTGTTCAGCAGGGGAGAACTTCTATGTCCTTCTACTGTATAATGTATAACTAGTGTGTTCAGCGGGGGAGAACTTCTATGTCCTTCTACTGTGTAATGTTTATCTAGTGTGTCCAGTGAGGAAGAACTTCTATGTCCTACGACTGTATAATGTATAACTAGTGTGTCCAGCAGGGGAGAACTTGTATGTCCTTCTACTGTATAATGTATAACTAGTGTGTTCAGCGGGGGAGAACTTCTCTGTCCTTCTGTTGTATAATGTATAACTAGTGTGTTCAGCAGGGGAGAACTTGTATGTCCTTCTACTGTATAATGTATAACTAGTGTGTCCAGCAGGGGAGAACTTCTATGTCCTTCTACTGTATAATGTATAAGTAGTGTGTCCAGCAGGGGAGAACTTCTATGTCCTTCTACTGTATAATGTATAACAAGTGTGTCCAGCAGGGGAGAACTTCTATGTCCTTCTACTGTATAATGTATAACTAGTGTGTTCAGCAGGGGAGAACTTCTATGTCCTTCTACTGTATAATGTATAACTAGTGTGTCCAGCAGGGGAGAACTTCTATGTCCTTCTACTGTATAATGTATAACTAGTGTGTTCAGCAGGGGAGAACTTCTATCTCCTTCTACTGTATAATGTATAACTAGTGTGTCCAGCAAGGGACAACTTCTATGTCCTTCTACTGTATAATGTATAACTAGTGTGTCCAGTGAGGGACAACTTCGATGTCCTTCTACTGTATAATGTATAACTAGTCAGTCCAGCAGGGGACAACTTCTATGTCCTTCTACTGTATAATGTATAACTACTGTGTCCAGCCGGGAACAACTTCTATGTCCTTCCACTGATAAAGGTATAACTAGTGTCTCCAGCAGGGCAGATTGTCTATGTCCTTCTCCTGTATAATGTATAACTAGTTTGTCCAGCAGGGGACAACTTCTATGTCCTTCTACTGTATAATGTATAACTAGTGTGTCCAGTGAGGGACAACTTCTATGTCCTTCTACTGTATAATGTATAACTAGTGTGTCCAGTGAGGGACAACTTCTATGTCCTTCCACTGCATAATGTATAACTAGTGTGTCCAACAGGGAACAACTTCTATGTCCTTCTACTGTATAATGTATAACTAGTGTGTCCAGCAGGGCAGAACGTCTATGTCCTTCTGTTGTATAATGTATAACTAGTGTGTCCAGCAGGGCAGAACGTCTATGTCCTTCTGTTGTATAATGTATAACTAGTGTGTCCAGCAGGGGAGAACGTCTATGTCCTTCTGTTGCATAATGTATAACTAGTGAGTCCAGTGGGGGAGAACTTCTATGTCCTTCTACTGTATAAT